GACCACCACCAACCACGGCCCCGGCAATGGTCAACCGCCGCAACGTTGGAGGAGTTATGATTTATTTGCGTTTTTTCCACTCCACTCCACAAACCATCTGGGCCCATTTCGCCTACATCTTGTTGGTACCTAGGAAGCATCACGATTGAGTGTTTATTGCCGGTATGAAATTTCGAGCAGGCTATAAAGCTCCCAAAAATAAGGAGTAAGTGAATTGAATCATTGCTTTTAAAAACCAGAGCCAAATTGGCAAACGGAGTCACCCGAAACCGGGTTGGGTTCAGGACCGAGCGTTTGTCGACCCGGACAACTAGTACAGCAGAAAGTGATCGCAATAGTCCCATTACAGCGGAACGGTGCGTGGCCACAAGCCCACGCGTCAATTGAAATTCACTTTTCGAAGTGAGTACAAGTTCATTGTTCAATTGCCGTTAGTGAGTGCCTTGTTGGAATAGTTTCGCTTTCAAGGTCAGGCCGAGGATGAGGTAATTCTTGAATGAGGTAATATTGCTTTGAGAAGAGAGAGGCGGTCTCGATTATCTGGATTTGATTATCTAGGAATTTCTTATTTTAAAAGGTAGTGACTGGAAGCTGATTTTATCAATATTGCTATACCAGCTCATGACTGTTCAAAACACGATTAAAAGTCTTGCCGTTTTCGGCTACGTTTGCTTTTTTTGTCTTATTTCTTTAAAATGAATCGAACGCTTTATTAAGTTTGTGATTTTACTAGACCATTCTTCAGAGATTAAAAATGACTTGTATCTTATATAAAAACTGTCCCTAGAGCACTAGCGCAAATTGGAGGAAAGAAATAGCTTATGAGGTGGTGTTGTCAAATACGGGAAGTATGAGTATTTAAAGTAATTATGCTTTGCTCATACAATTCTGTGGACATGATTTTCAGTGTAATATATGCTGATTACCACTATTTTGGTAACTAGAGGAAATGGATGTAATGTCGGTCCTTATTTGGGCCCCTTACATAAATTCAGCAATCGACTAAATTTTCAATAGCGACCAAAAAAATCCATTGGTACCGTCCCAATGACGCGTTCATCTAGATAAAATTGATAAAAGCAGCTTTTTAGCGATCGGCCCAATCTTAGATCTATGGGCCAACATTAGAGCCATTTCCCCTATTATTCAGCTTGAACAATACACTTTACATGATTCAAGTTCGTGATCATTAACTAACCTAACCTAACACTACACACAGTCGTAAGTGCTCCAGTTGCTCCTGTTAGTATGATCTACGCCTACAAATCAGCGAATGCCTGTTCGAGTACTGATTCTGATAAAGGCAATTTTAGTCTTTTAACGACAGAAATCAAAATCCAACGCTTAGCAGTTCTAAACGTTTGTAGTGTAGATCAGAGTTTCTCAATCTAAAGATCTCGGGTTGCCCATATAGGTGTGTCGTTGAAATTTAGACATCTTGGTCAAATGTCAAGCCTCTTAATGGCATCTTAATTTTTTAATTTTATCGTTTCAAAATCATTTAGGAATTTCATTTCTATTTTTGTGATTTTAGGTTGTTTGGTCCCAAATGGCGTTCTCTTGCCATTTTTGACGGTTAGAAGACTTTTTGGCATTTAAATGTGATTTTGAAAAGTCTAGGCTAATTTCACATTTTTGGGCAATATATGGTATTTTTAGGACAATACTGACGATTTAAGATTATTACAGGCCTTGTGATTTCCAAGATTATTAAGAGAGTTGTATGTCTGTTGAGCGTGTTTATGGATATTTTCACGATTTCATAGCTATGTTAGACCATTTTAGTGTTTAAAATCCATTTCAGGTAATTCTTGACTAGTAAAGTGATTGTGAGGCCAATTTTTGTGTTTTAACGTTTTAATGGTTATTTTGGCGTTTTTAAAAATATTTTGACGGTTCTCAATACGTATTTCATACCCATTCGGGCATTTTATCGATGATGGGCCATAATCCGAATGCCACTACGCCGAATGCTACTAGGCCGAATGCTACTAGGCCGAATGCCACTAGGCCTAATTCCACTAGGCCATATGCTATTAGGCCAAATGCTACTAGGCAGAATGCAACTAGGACGAACATTATTAGCCGAATGGGTAATTCAACCTAAATCTTAATAACTGTTCCCATTTCATCATCAGCCGTCTGTATTGGGTAGTAGAAAAAGTTGGTAAAATTATGTATGAACATATTAAATTCAAGCTGTCAAACATTATTGCTTCAATATATCACGAAAGAACCGCTCATGTTCAAGAGAAAGCTAAATCTCCTATGAACTATATGTAACTAGTTATCTCTTAAGAAAAAAAAAACATTTAAAGTCAAAAGTGCTGCTTATGTTTCAAGTAAGCTAAAATTCATATGTTCTAAAAGTTGGAATCTTGTATAGTTTTCCAAGTTGGTTTTCGTATGTGGTCCATTTTTATTTGTCATGAAATCTGATTTTGAAGTATTTTTTTAATACATAGAATGAAAGAATTCTTCATCAATCTTGGAAATGATTCAAAGTTCAAGACAGCTCGGACAGAGATCAGAAAAGCATTCTCGGAGTGTTACAGAGAACTTTATGAGTTCAACCTCTCTTTCTATTACTAGTGTTACTAGGCCGAAAATATAAAAGTGAGGTTAAACTCAGAAATTGGAATGGAAATGGAATGGAAATGGAATGGAAATGGAATGGAAATGGAATGGAAATGGAATGGAAATGGAATGGAAATGGAATGGAAATGGAATGGAAATGGAATGGAAATGGAATGGAAATGGAATGGAAATGGAATGGAAATGGAATGGAAATGGAATGGAAATGGAATGGAAATGGAATGGAAATGGAATGGAAATGGAATGGAAATGGAATGGAAATGGAATGGAAATGGAATGGAAATGGAATGGAAATGGAATGGAAATGGAATGGAAATTGAATGGAAATGGAATGGAAATAGAATGGAAATGGAATGGAAATAGAATGGAAATGGAATGGAAATGGAATGTAAATGGAATGGAAATGGAATGGAAATGGAATGGAAATGGAATGGAAATGGAATGGAAATGGAATGGAAATGGAATGGAAATGGAATGGAAATGGAATGGAAATGGAATGGAAATGGAATGGAAATGGAATGGAAATGGAATGGAAATGGAATGGAAATGGAATGGAAATGGAATGGAAATGGAATGGAAATGGAATGGAAGTGGAATGGAAGTGGAATGGAAGTGGAATGGAAGTGGAATGGAAGTGGAATGGAAGTGGAATGGAAGTGGAATGGAAGTGGAATGGAAGTGGAATGGAAGTGGAATGGAAATGGAATGGAAGTGGAATGGAAGTGGAATGGAAGTGGAATGGAAGTGGAATGGAAGTGGAATGGAAGTGGAATGGAAGTGGAATGGAAGTGGAATGGAAGTGGAATGGAAGTGGAATGGAAGTGGAATGGAAGTGGAATGGAAGTGGAATGGAAGTGGAATGGAATTGGAATGGAAGTGGAATGGAAGTGGAATGGAAGTGGAATGGAAGTGGAATGGAAGTGGAATGGAAGTGGAATGGAAGTGGAATGGAAGTGGAATGGAAGTGGAATGAAAGTGGAATGAAAGTGGAATGGAAGTGGAATGGAAGTGGAATGGAAGTGGAATGGAAGTGGAATGGAAGTGGAATGGAAGTGGAATGGAAGTGGAATGGAAGTGGAATGGAAGTGGAATGGAAGTGGAATGGAAGTGGAATGGAAGTGGAATGGAAGTGGAATGGAAGTGGAATGGAAGTGGAATGGAAGTGGAATGGAAGTGGAATGGAAGTGGAATGGAAGTGGAATGGAAGTGGAATGGAAGTGGAATGGAAGTGGAATGGAAGTGGAATGGAAGTGGAATGGAAGTGGAATGGAAGTGGAATGGAAGTGGAATGGAAGTGGAATGGAAGTGGAATGGAAGTGGAATGGAAGTGGAATGGAAGTGGAATGGAAGTGGAATGGAAGTGGAATGGAAGTGGAATGGAAGTGGAATGGAAGTGGAATGGAAGTGGAATGGAAGTGGAATGGAAGTGGAATGGAAGTGGAATGGAAGTGGAATGGAAGTGGAGTGGAAGTGGAATGGAAGTGGAATGGAAGTGGAATGGAAGTGGAATGGAAATGACTTGAAAATTTTCTCGACTTCCTTGGGCATAGAGTATAATGGCTCTTACCACACAGTTATACTAATGCAAAAAAAAATAATGTTACAAGCCTTGAAAGCTCTCAATTAACAACTGTGGAAGTGCATCTAGAACACTAAGTTGAAGGCTGACATAAAGTCCCAGCAACAACGTAATAAAGCCAAAAATAAGAAAATAATTGAATTTCACAATACATGATAGAAATAACATGACAATTAACTTATAATAGACTTTTTTCCTATTCGTCGTTGCTTCCGTCTCTTCATATCTTACGCTACACGCATAGCAGAATTGTATTCAAAACAAAACGGTTTTCCACAGCCCAGACAACTAACCAACTTTTTTGTAAGCTTTTTTCTCACAGCTACATATCTCTCATCTCTATTCCCGTTACGTGGTCCAATACGCGGAGTACAATTATATAAACATGCTTACGTTTGTCACCATCGTTGTACGGTTTCCCTCTTAATCCAACAACATTCAAGACGAAGCAGCACATTACAGATTTTCGCTTTGTATGTAGCATCAGCATAACAACCTTCCTTTCCTTCTTCCTTTGTCGACTCCGAGTTTTACTAAGAAATCAAACAAAAGAAAGCAACAATTTCCAGTCAAACCACTTGAATCCCGGCCGGTAAGTGAGCACATCTTCAACTACTACAACAACAACAACAACAGATGAGCAACTTCGGTTTGGGATCTCCGCAAACAATGGCTATCGCGTACCTTTTATCGCGACTAAATTATCGAAGAGATGTTTCATTGCGATCTCTCAACCAGCAAGTTACATTTCTCCACTCGTTTGTCACCCACTTGACAATGGTTTTGCAATTGCACTAATCGCAAATCGCTTCTCCTCTCTTTACAGTTTTGTTCATCACGTGTATCACCATCGAAACCGGAAGACCATTATCGGGCAGTGTGCCGAGCGTTGGCTACCGAAACCCTAGAGTTAAGAACGTTCCTACAGCGGGTATGCCTGGGCGATGCCGAGGTGCTCCGATTGAAGGCCCAAGCGGAAACCTCCGGGAAGGTGCTGGAGAAGATCCACTTTAACGATTGGGTAAGTAGCATTTGGCACGTATCAGATATGGCAGGGATCCTTGCCTCAACTTTGACCCAAATTCCCATGGGATCCAACAATAGGGGAGCCAACTCCGCCCGAACGCACCAATAAAAGCGAAAGGTCATTAAGTTGAAGGCGCTTGGCTTGGTTTGCGCACAAACGGAAATCGAGATCAATCTATCCATTCAATTCGGTTGGAAGCGCTCTCAGATGCAACACATTCCTCTCTATTCTCTGTGGATCCCGTCAATCATGCGTGATGAGGATTTGGATTGGTGTGCTGAGTGCGAGTCTCGAAACGGAAAGCCAATCAACGCCGCCGCGGGGATGATAATATGGTGGTGGCGATGATGATGCGTTTCTAATGATTTTAAAGTTTTAACGGCGCATTAGCGGAAAGTTTTTGGGATGGTGCACGGTTGTAAAATTGAGATTAAGCATTTCTACGGTGTATGATTATTGTTGTTGTCACTGTCGTCGTCGTCGTCTTTATTGTAGTTGGTGACACCAATTGATAGGTGATAAAGTTGAATGTTTGAGGAAACAGGGAAAACTAGATTCATCCAATTGCTGCTCGCTAGAAAGTGATAGTTTTGGGATAACGGAACGAAATTGCTTGTTTGTGGTCTGAAGTCAAATGTCTTCAAGAATTAAGCAAGTCATTCAAATAGTATTCGTCCATACAAACAAATGCTAAGGAATTTCCCAGGTGGCCTTATATAACTTCATTTTTTTTAATTAACCTTCAATGTAGCATTAGTTTACATTCCAGTAACGGTGAAAATAAAAAGTATTACTCAATTTTCCACGCATCGTTGGCCCAGCAATTTTACACCCGTCTGAAAATAAGCATAATTAAAATACACACGCGACGGCATTGTATGGCGAGAAAATTATCCCCGCCAATCGACATGCCAATTCAATCGCTCGCTGATTAATTAATCCTTGTTTTTCATTGGCATGATTTTTTCGTTGTTGAAATACCTCACTGTTTATTTGGTTCATCAATGGTTGCTTAAAACTGACTGTGGAAAAACGAACAAAACGGCGACTCTTCTTTAATAACGTCTTTAGCTAACCCATTTTCTTCTTCACTTAAACTGATTCTATCTAAACAAGCTAGGGGTATTTAATCTCTCCCGTTTCTGTTATGCGATGAGCATCGGATTCATTGCTGAGCGTTACGCACATTAACCTCCAGCCTTTGTGTTTCGACGCTTCGAATCCACGCTTTCTGATGAGTGTCGAATGTTATGGTACCCTGTAATTTACAAATTGTTTGGGATTCAAATTATGAACCGAACCATTCGGAAAACCAAGCGCCAGATCCCTCTTAACCTAGTTGCTCAGCGCTTAGATATGCTAGCTTCTTTATGTTCCAAGCAAATTACACACTACTGCCCGAGTTGCTCGGGTTTTCTTTTGTTCGCAATCAGTTAAAGTAATCACTTTACCCAGGGTTTTGAGAATCAGAACACTGTGCTGAAGTTTCTCTGTGTGAAGTGGCAATAAAAGTGAAACTATTTGTGGGAGGCGTTAACAGAAGATCGCCCACTCGAATAAGATCTATGTAATTGGGTGAATTTTATTACTTCACAAAATACAAACGGCATACTTACATCTAATGTAAGTAGAAGTTTGTTACGTTATCTTCTCTATGTTTCTTACGAGATATGCAATGGAAGTACTTGCAACAGACTGTGTACCGAACTTATTCCTGAGTCAATGGTTTCATACAAAACGAAATTAGCGGACAAATTAAATGCTTATGCTATACACTCATTACAGTCAGTCTTCAGACCATAACCATATCACATAATCTTTAAATGAGGTGATTTATTATTTAACTAATGATAATAATGATAATGAATGTCATTATCAGAATTACGGTGAAAATTTTATGGTAGAGAATTTGATGAAAGTATAGAATTAATAGATTCTGTTATCACTGAGATAGCTGCGTTCGCAATGAGAGCGAAAAATAGGTAAGTGAAGAGTTGTAATACTTACTAGGGTGCCAAGGAAAAAAAAAATGAAATCAGCCATGTACAAAATGTTTAATGCTTTCATCTGAAAAATCTCCCAAGATTATACATGAAATTTCGGAAATCTAAATTTGTTGTTTATGCCAATTGACTAAAAAATGCGTGAAACGGCGATATTAAGTGTTAACTCTAGACTGATTTTTATAGTTCCGAAATGCCAACAAATCTTCAATTTAGACATAAAAGGTTTGGTAAAGAGAGATGATCAACCCGATTCGTACCTTACTCAAAGTTGTCCTTGCTCGCTTTCTACTCTCTATATACAATTTTCACACTGCCTAACGGACCTATCAATTCGTTATTTTCATCTCCTCATCCATCGTTTAAAATGATCGCTTTAAGTCTGTTATTTGAATTTAGCATCTTCAACTATGTAAAATCGTTTACTTCACGCAGAAGTAATAGACACAAAATAGTTAAGCTTGAATCACAGAACTGAAGGTCAACTTAGCATAGAGAGTTAATGCAAACAGAGTTTAAATTTTCCATCATTGAAAGCACTGCTGGCTTTCTGAGACAGAGAGGTTATATAAGCATGCTGTTTCTTTAACACTGCCAGCGTACATTGTACAGAAGTGCTCCTCAACAGTTTACTAACAGTTCAGTTACTAAGAAATCAATCAGAAAGAAAGTCACATATTTGCAAAAATATACTAGTCTGACGTCTTGGCAATTTTCCCTAAGTTCAAGGATTATGCAAAAATACATAGTTTTTTTTAATCCTCGATCCAGTAAATTTTTCTTCTTACAATATTCAGAAAATATTCCAAATCTGTATTTTTGTTGCAAATATTTTTCCAATTCCAGAATTTATGACATAATTACTGGCATCTCAAAAAATTAACTTTATCTCAGGAACTTGACAGTGTTTCCTGAGTTTGATGTATTTATCTGAAATTGAAATTAAATCTTTGGCTGTATTTTCCTAGGATCACACTTTATTTTTATTTTAAGGCTCAATTTTAGTAGCTTTGTGGAGCCAAATTTCATTTTGCAATTTTAATAGAAGGGAGCCGAAAACTCGCAGTATTTCAATTTATAAACACTTTGGGACACTATCTAGGAAAAAGTACACAGGAAAGCGTTTGATATTTTTCTCCTTGGCCGTTGTATTGCTATATTCGACGATTGTACGTGGGACATGTATTGCGGTGACGGGCAAGTGTTCTGGATTTCTCTTGAGACGAAAATTTGGTTGACGGCAAAATTGTAACGAAACACATAAAAGGGGCCTTGGCTGGGACAACGATGATAGACGCTTAATTTGGAACGAGGACAGACAAAACACTACTACATTCTCGTCAAGTAATTTTTTCCATCAACATTGATGATTGACTGAAGTAATGGCTATTTAAAAGCTAGTTGCTTCCCAATCTGAAAGGAATAATTAAATTATAACTTCATTATATCAACTCCTGTGCTATAATTTCAATCACATATCGTGATATAATTTTGCTTTAGGGTCCTGGTGTAAAAAGTTTTCAACGCAATTGAAACAAAATTATAAAACAATTTGTTGAAATTAAAGTAAAATTATTTATTAAATTAATTATTATTAAATTCTAAAAATTTTTTAACAGAAAGAAAATTAAGCTTGTTATTATATTGTGGCTCCTTAGCAGTCAGGGGCAAATCCAGTTATTACGTTATGTTTTAAGAAAGGTGGAGGTTGGTTATCATAGTTTGTTATTGAAATAGTATTGTAGGAACATTTTTTGGTATTATTTTTTAGAATTTTACCTCTTATGCCAGGCTTATCCATACCAATTTAGGGTATCAAGATATTTGTTCCTGCTCAGGAGATGGCAAATATCTTTTCTAGTCAAGATTGTCAGATGTCTGGTTTCAAATCCCAGCGGCAGCATTTGTGATTATTCTAATCTGGTAATCAATCTTATTTTGATGAAATTGTGTAAAAAACCCAGCTTATAGCCCTAATGTGTAATTTTGTATCAAGATATGTTCTTCATTCGTTCCTTTATTTAACGTCGGTCTCTGTTCCGCAATCTAGTGCCAATCACCGACGGACATCGATTACCATCCATTGACGGCAATCGAAAGTGCAGGAAGACAGCTTCCACACCTGCGTAAGATATCGCACCCATTCAAAACACACATGGGCCGGGACCAACGGCTTTACTTCCCTTCGGAAGGAAGACCTTTTGGTTTGTTTTTTTTCCGTCGATCTTGTTTTCCGTGCTCAGCACCAATTCTACCGACGTGCCAGGCAGGCAGCTCCCACACCTGGACCCTACCTATCGACCCATCAACTCATGAACCGGGGACCAACGGCTTTACTTCCCATCCGAAGGAAGACGTGACCAGAGATTTTTATGCCTCAGAAAAATCCCACCGACCTCGGCTGGGATTGAACCCAGACCCATTGAGGTGTTTGAAAGCAGTCACGCTTACCACTACACCACCGGCGCCGGCTTATCAAGATATGTTAGAAACACGATATTTCCCTTACCATAGTTTTTTTTTTATAATTTTGCTACCGAGCAGTAGAATTTTTGTTAGGTTTTTTTATTATTTTAACTACATCCGCGATCGAAATTGTTACAAAAATCTATTGAACAAAATAACACATGACACATTTTTTTTCTTCTGTTTGGGTTCAAAACAGTTTTCATCATCAAACAACAAACAGTCAAACTAATGATGTTAAACTTGATGGTACATTCAATATTTCGATAATGTTAACCTCAAATCCAGAAAACAAAAATATGGCGTCATGTGAATCTGGCTGTAAAGTTGGAGTATTTGTAGTCTTGGAAGAACCTGAAAGTCACGGATAGTCCCTATCAATCTGGAATGATTTCGGAACATTCCCAAGTAGCACAATTCTGTCCCAAAAAGTTGCAGCAACTTGTTTATAACTGAAATAAGTCGTATAGAAGTTTCCAAGACCAATTTATAACAAGGGTGCTACTAGGGTTATCACTACTTCCT